GAGAAAGAAAATTACCATATGATATCGCCTATGTGCGGAATTGAAAAAAAGACATGAATGAACTTATTTACAAACGAGAAACAGGTTCACAGACATAGAGAATAAACTTATGGTGATTGGGGGTAGATGGGGTGATAAGGGACAAATTGAGATTTCAGGATTTGCAGATACTAACTACTACATACGAAATAAATAACGGGTTTATACTGTAGAGCACAGGGAACTATATTCAATATCTTGTAGTGACCTATAATGAGAAAGAATATGAAAACAAATAGATGTATGTACACGTATGCCTGAAACATGCTGCACACCAGAAATTGACACAACATTGTAAACTGACTATACTTCAATAAAAAAGAATGCAAAAATGAATAAATAATTTTTAAAAAAAATTTCAAAAGCAAATTAAGAACAACAACAAAAAAAGGCCAACCTGTTCATGATGAACAAAATGTGAACAAAGCATTTGGGAAAAAGCTATGTAAAGTCCCCACTTTATATACGAGCACTCAACGAACGGTTCCATCTAACAATCTGAACTTTTTCATCCCTTTTTCTTCTCTGCCTCAACTTCCCTTCCCTGCCTTACCCACCCAGCAAAGACTTTGCTGTTCAGGGGTCCCCATGAGCACCCTAGATTTGAAGGATGCACTAGAAGGTCTGGCAGAATTCACAAAAGCTGTGGTTCCTTACAGTGAAAGGACACAGGTTAATAGTGGTTGCCTTTGGGCAAAGAGTTTAGAGGCCTTGATTGGAAGGGAAATGGACTTACTCATTATGTAAGTTTTTATACAACTAAAGATTGACCATTTTAAATGTTGCATTTTCCGTACTAATTGCCAGTAAATAACAGAAAGGATGCCGTCCCAGTAGGATGTCCTGGTTGGAGCTCTTTGAGAGCTCCAAAATGCCTCTTCTAAATAAGAGAAAATCAGCTATACTCAAGGTATCTTTGATGCCCCCTCCCTTTTGTAAATGTTTTATTGCTAAACAGTGAGCTGAAAGGAGACTGTGAATGTAAGAATACTGGTTCCGTGAAAAAGATTAACAAGCAGGTTCTACTTGAGATTGGGTAGTTATGAGGGCCTTTTTGAGAAAGCCACCAAAAAAAAAAAAATGAAAAGATACAGATTAGAACAGCCAAGGGAAGAGTTGGTGCATGGGGCAGTATCCAGGAGAAACCTGCGTGAGCTTCCCATTGTCCCCTCCCAGCGGAGTCACATGGACAGCCTTTAATTCTACAGCAGCAAAGTGCGACAACATGCATGGTGTACTGCCAACAAGGGAGACTCACCTGAACCTTGGTGCCCAGGGTTTTCACTGGGCATTGGTCACAGAGACGTGGCTGACTTCAGTCTCTAGTCCCTCCAGAGGTCCATCTGATACCACACGGTCCAGGACCCCAACTATAAGGCACATTGTTAGCATAGACTATCTGGCATATCCCAAGGCCCCCAGGTAAACCAAGACACTTTTATCAGGCAGGGCATTCCAAGGGCTTAGAGGTCACCTCTCAGGAGCAAGGGCCTAAACTTTCATGTTCAGAGTGTGGACAACTCAGGCCTGTTGAGTTAGTCCTTTCTGCACAGACCTGATAAATATTGTGACACTGAGTTTGAGAAGGAAAAGCCGGGCTGGGCTAACAAGCTAAGTCACAAATCTAAGTGTAACAAGTGTTGGATTACTGATCTGTGTTCTGCTGA